GTCTGCTTCTGTATACCAAAATTGTAGGACATAAATGTGAAATAAGGTCAAGTTAAGGGGGCACATTTATGTATTATGCCAAAGTTAAAATATAAATAGGAGGACTAATTTTTATTTTTATATTTTTATTTTGAAATCCAAATTTTGTTTCTTTTTTTAATGAAAATGCTTTATTATTTATATGGTCTTAAACTATATATATACCAAAATATTTTGTAATGTTATGATATTAAACATGTCATGTGTAAGTTAAATTCAAAAACAGACCAAAAAGGAAAATACATTCTTTAATGTTTCAAAACAAACTAAAAAAAAGACAAAATATAATTTGTTTTTTTGTTAAAAAATACTTATAATAATTTTGTTATTACTAAAAAAAAAATGAGGCCCTCAAATTTTGGGGCCTAAAATTTTTTAAGGATATCGAACACCCACCCTCACCCCACCCCTCATTTTTATTAATAACGAAATTTTACTAATATAAAGAAATAAACACAAAAAAATTATTAATAAATTAGTAGCCAAGTGGTAAGGATAGTAGAATTGATTCTGAATTTGGGACTATGTCCATATCCAAAAGTCCAAAACATTTTGTAGGTATTAATTATCTGGTAAATAAAGATTACAGTTAAAAAAAAAAAAGACACATAAATTTTTTTAAAAAGTCTAACATCTAATATATAAAAAATAATTTTAGTCATATATAAAGAATAATACAATTTTCCACAATTAATTATTTAAATAAACCTTTCGATTCTATTTGAATCCGTTCCTAACTACCCTACATTTACTTAGACACTATTTGCAAAAACATATTAGATATTATATTATTATATATATGTTGTAAGTAATTAAGTCGATTTTTCGACTAGTCTCTTAATTTTGGAAGTGGAGGGGAAGAAGATCAACTAGTAAGGCTTCGTGAGAGCAATTAATACAGTCGTAAAAGTCTTGCTTAGTAATGAAATTAGTCAATTATTAATAAAAAGCAACTAGTGAAATAAAATAAAAGAAAGTATCAAAATTAATTCCTTGACATGCTGGATAGATGTTCCAACAACTCCTTGGAATAAGGATGTTATGAAGTTTACATAAAAATAATTAAGTCAAAATTAAGGAATATTGTTGTAATTAATTAAAGTTTCTATAATGTCTTCATCCACTAACAACAATATTAGATGACTTATTCCAAACATAATGGATCTACGTTGCAACCACATCTCTTTTGAAAGCAAATAAAATAAATAAAAAAGAAAAAGAAGAGAGAACGACACTTAGATATTGAATTTGGACATGCGAAATGAGATCATGATTTTAAATTAGTATTTAGACATGTGATTTGAGATTCTTATTTCAAAATCTCCAAAAGCACGATAGAAATTTCAAATTTTTATAAAATGTAAAACTTGATCCATAAATTTATATTTTGTAAAATAAAAATCTTTCATTTTAATTTTTAGCAAAAAAAAAAAAAAGTTTATGCTCAGCGTGAAGTAATTGTTCGTGATAGAATCATATTAAAGAATAACTAGTTATAACTATTTTTGACTAATTGATCATTATAAAAATTATATGTATTTGTGAGTTTGTAATTATATGTATGCATCACCTTAATCAGGATATTCCGATATATTGTTATGAAATATGATTTGTTTGTTGGGTAAGATTGTATATATAAGATTTTGGGAAATTTTTGATAGTTTTCACCACTTAGCTTTTCATGTTCGTGAGTAAAAGTACCAAGTTACAAAATAGATTTTATGTCCAAATAAAATTTTAACTTCAAATTAAACAATCTAATTTTAAATCATAATCCAATATTAACAAGACGTGTTCTAAGAAATATAACGTAATAAAAATTAACAAAAACTAATTGAATCGGAAACTACTTGTACGTTTTATACACCTTAACCTTGCCAGTAAATTTGAATTTTTCTATTATTACCAATTTGAACTAGTCCAGTTTTTCCAGATAATCACTTAATTTTCAATTTATTTTTAAAAAATCTTAATTTTTTCTCCAAGTTCGATTGAAAAATGGAAAATATGCTTTTAAGTTATGTTGCACGAATATTATGTGATGTGAATGGCTAATATGATTATATATATACTTACATGATAATTTGTACATGGAACAACTTGTTTTTTTTAAATTAAATAATTAATTATAACATATATATTTTTTATGATACATATATGTTTATTCGACTTATTTCTCTAACGATAAATTAGTTTTACAGCTTTAATAAAATAAATTAAAGATCGAATTATTATTTATGAAATTACTCCAATAATATACTCCTCAATCTAATTTCAATTATCAAGGAGGAAAAATAGAGAATTTTTTTTCTTTGATATACAATTTGTCTATTATTGTTATTATACGTACAAGTGTGATCCTTTGAAAAATTTCAAATATTTTAGTTTAAAGATAATAAAATTAGCTTATAAAAATATGATTTTATCGATTTATTTACTACAATCTATTCATTTGATATCTCGATTTGAGTCTATTAAAACAAAAACAAAAAGTACTAAGTACTAATATTTTGTGAAGATATTTTAGTACTAGATATTTGAGATGTTGATCATACTTTTCCTTTTATTCAATTTTAGTGGACAAGATCTGAATTCTGAAGCACTATTGGAAGTAAGCATGCATTAAGAAGATTCTATAAGAAGATAAAAAGGATCCAAACTGTCACTGTTTTTGCTTTTTTATACCTCAAAGTAGCAAAAGGGAATTTAATAATAATAAAAAAGCCTTCATCATTCTAATGCCCATTAAATTAGTTCATGATAATATGATCTATTCAATTTTAATTTATTTAAGTTATTATCTTATTTATTTATTTAATCAATCTATTTTGATCTGTTTAACTTAATTATTAATAAAATTTATCAATACAATAAAAGTTATCATTTTTACTATTCACCAATAATCAATAAATTTTAATTTATTTTTTATAATATTTGATTAAATATATTTAACATTGTAATATTTGAAATGTGCATTTATGATCTTTTTGTTTATGAATATTCACAATCTTTTATACTCTATGATCAAACAATATTATAACTAAAAATATTAATCTCAAAATACTTATTATTTTATAAAACATATTTTTTTATATAAATGAGGGACCCAAAATATTATTCTCTTTAACTACAAGTTAATATAAATCGAATAAGTGGTTTGAGTTTAGTTGAGAAAGCAAATCAAGTAGTAGTAGTTGTCAAGCGATTTAAATGTTGAGAAGAGGAAATTGGGGCATAACTACTTTCAAATTTGTCGGCACCATTTTCTTATCTATTAAATTATCTGCATTTTTTAGAAATTATAAGATGAAAAATCGAATTCTTAGATCTTAATAATAAAGTAAAAATTCAGATAATTAATTAATCAATTGATTAAATAAGATTTCTCAAATCATCTATGAAATTGCATGTAGATTCATACTTATCTTTTTATCGTTATACATATCTTGTATTTAATGTATCATTGAAAATTTTGAGAGATATTTCCCTTTTATAATTTTAACTTTTTTGAAGTTTTTTTTTTTGTCTTTTGAAAAAGGTCTTTACCTTTATGTATAAAATATTTTCATCTTTACATATAGAAGATTTTTATTTTTATACGTAAAAAAGTTAAAAAGAAATCGTTTTCTTTAATTCAAATTAAAAGGGTAAGAATCTCGTTTTCTCAATTCTTTTTGCATAAATCACTTATAATAGAAATAGTTGTCTTATCACGTATTTCCATCCACCGGTTTCATTTTATTACCTCCGTTTTCCTTTACTCCATCATACTAAATATATATTTTCAATTAAATTTTTTAATCATGTTTTACTCTTAAAGTTAATTATTCATTTCTCAAACTATTGACCTTAGACTATTAAATATCAATTAATATGGGTATATCGGTAAAATTTTCATATCAATTATATTCTATTTGAATTTATGTAATGTAATTTAACGGTACACAAAATTTTAAAATATGAAAAAGTTTTGCATTAATGTTTTAGAAATATCCCAAAATAAATGAACTTATAAATAAAGAGTACACCTTTGCGGTTTTTTTGGTCAAAAAAGTGAAACCCAAAATAGGTAGAAAACATTTATAGTGTCATGAAACATTTGTCAAATAAAAAATAAGTGATTAAAAAGAAAAAATAATGTCATATCCTCAAAGGGACATAAAGAGTATGTAAAATTCAATCTAAACAAGTAAAAGTGAATCTAAAGAATACTTATTGACTTTTATAATAAAAAAATGTATTTCCCTTTTTCCTTTATTCATTTTAGCAAAATCAAAAGAGATATACCATTTTCCTTCAAATCATTCAACACTTAAATTTTCTATAGCATAGTTAATAAAATTAATTTAATATAATAATTTAAAAATAAATACTTATACTTTTTCTAAAAGTTCATGTAAACATGGACAAATAAAAAAAGAAGGAAGCAAATAAATGATAAACTCAGAAACCTAAATCATTTTTGGGGATTCATTAGATATATAATTTATTTATTTTTACACATGTATATATATGGGGATGAACATTAATGATAAGATTAACCTCAAAGGTAAAGAACAAAAAAAAAAAGGAAAATAAATAATTTAATACTTTTGACCAAGTGGTGACACATGGATGCAAAATTTCCACACCAAAATGCTAGGAAAAAGACTAGAAAAAGCAAAAGAGGACCAAGAAAGTTGCTTCATCCCTAAAAATTGGTGGACTTGTCTTTCTAAGTCTAGTCAACCACCAGCCTAATTGATGTTACACACACACATAAAATTGGGGGGGGGGGGTGATTGGACTAAGAATATTAATTGTTAAATAATGTTAAGTTAGACCTCTAGTGAAATTTACTGATAATATATGTACTCTATTTTTCATATTGTTATATCATACTTGATATAGTCCAATAACAACGAATTAATTACTTTTTTACTGTAGTTAACTTAATTTGATAGCGTTCAAATAATTTTCACACCTTCTATACATTAGAATATATCCACGTAAGAGTTTAAGTAAAATGTCATTCCAATTTAACACATCAAGGTTATTAATATATTTTAATTGACTAAGACAATTGTCATGATCACACAGAAGAGTCAAGACCAGGCTACCTAATGGAATGTTTAATCGATCCATTCCGGATCAGGAAGCTTGAATACATGAATATTAACTCTGAAGTAAACTAAATGTAAAAATAAAAAATGGAAAATGTTAAAATGCATGGAACAAAATTATATTTATACGTTAATCGTTTACAAGAGAAACAAGTTTAAAAAAATGAACTAATATATACTCTATCTTTATAACTAAACAATTGGGTATGTATAATTTTTTACTTTTTGGGGGAGAATATTTTAATTACAATATGTGCATAGAAATATATACCCTGGTGGAAAAAAAAAGAAAACAAAAGAAGAGGGGAAAACATGCAAAATAGTTTATAAGTCAGCCTCAACCTTATTTGTTGGACCAATACCAACTTGTAACCATTGTGAAGGATTACCAGAAGTAGTTAGGTCACTTAATTTTGCTAGCTTCAACTTACTATCTGCTTCATCATCCTCTTCTACATTGATTTGTGTTGCATCATCTTGACGGACATTGTTGTTGTTGTTGTTGTTCTTGTTCTTGTTCTTGAAGTTGTCATCCTCATTTTCTTCGCGGGGTTGATCACTATTGTTGTGGTTAACAACATCATCTTTTGTTTCTTTTTTTGTATGATCACTATTATTTGTACTACTCCATGGATGCATGTGTATATCTGTGGAGACCTCAAAGGGATTGATTATTTTCCAAGGTTCTTGCTTTATTCTTGACATGTTTTGATCATTAGGTGGAACGTTAAGATCCAATGGATCTTGATTCTCCAATGTTGATCTTTCATTAATTTGCTTAAGGGGATTGTGAAAATGAAATTTTGGTGTGAAGATAGATGAATCTTGAGAGTTGGAAGTGATCCAATGACACCTTTTATGGCCACCTAAAGCTTGTCCAGTTGAAAAAACTCTATGGCATATTGAACATTCATGTACTTTTGATTTTCTCTTTGAAGCTCCTGTTAATGAGGACCCTTGTTCAAATTGGTAATTATAAGATGATGATTTTGAACCTTTCAAGTAATTATCTTGATCATGTGTATTATCATCTAATTGATTTTGTTTGGCTGCATAACATCCTTTAACCTTCTTGTGACTTGCCCTATGTCCACCTAGGGCTTGGTGAGAATTGAATAGTTTCTTGCATGCTTTACATTCAAATAATCCTTTGGGAACCCCTTTAGCCTTGTCCAAACTAGGTATGATGAAAAATTCACTTTTTCTATCATGTTCGAGATCTTTGTCTTGGTTCATGAGGCCCGAAGTACTAAGGTAGGTCATTATAGGGTTCCGCCTCTCCTCCTCTTTACTAGCGGAGGCACATGACTCTTCTGGCTCGATGGTTAATGGGTCCACCCCTGAATTAGCTAAATCTATAAGCCATTTTGCAAGAAGAAGATCTTCTTGTTCACTTGAATAAGCATTATTAGTATTATAAGATGAAGTAAAAGTTCCAACTTTAGTACTCCTCAAGGACCTTTTCCTTTTAGACCAACCATACCCTTTTCTTTCACCTATGTTATATTCCTCACCATCAGAACAAGGTGATGATACCAAGGAATGATCATCATAAGCATCATCAGAGCCACAATATTTACCATGTTCAAGAAAAGATTTCCATGACATAAATTCTTGTCCACAATTTTCACATACCCTAGTACTCTTTAACCTGTTAGGGTTTGCTCTTAATTGGTACATCCTCTTATTATCACCATGGTTTTCTTCCCAATCACTAGCTTCTTCATCATCATCATCATCATCATCATCCATATTTACCCTCTCATCTCCAATACCATGAGCTCTCATATGTCCACCTAGAGCTCTCCCACACATGAAACCCTTCTTACAAACTCTACAATAATGCTTAAAACTTGGCTTTTGTTCTTCATCAACACAAGCCATGACTATAACCCCCTTCCAAAAAAAAAGACCTTAACACTAGTTAATTTAGTCAACTATGTGTAAGAAATTAAAAGACAATATAAAGAAGAAAAGTGAGAGTTATTATGATGATAATTAATATGGATAAAGAAAACAAGAAAAGTTGCATGGGTTGTTGTTCTTCTTATTATTATTAGTAGAAGTTGTTGTGGGCTTGTAAGGTGAAAAGAAAGTAAGTCCTATTTTTTAGTTAGAGCCAATGGTTTAATTTGTTTGTGTGAGGAGAGGAAAATAGGAGTTCGAGTGGGAGTGAGGGAGTGAAGGTGACAAGTGGAAGGAAGGGGAAAAGGCCCCCTTTTTTTATTAAAAAAAAAATAAATTCTTTTTAGCTCAAAGAAAATTGAAAGATTTTCCTATACACTTTAGTGTAGGGACCTAAAATTATCCATCAATTCCATATTAGTTGTTATACTTCGCTTTTCAAGTGCTAATTTAATCAATCTTATAACTTGTCATGATTAATCAAACATTAATTTGATTAATCTTGAAAGCAAAATTGAATTCATCCGTTCCATATTAGTTAGTTAGGGAAAATTACTAGGGATGACAAACATCCCTAAGTAATTATATAATAAGGGTATAGTATAATTTATTTACTTTCTATAATTATAGTTTTTTTTTGCTATAATTAATGGGGTCCACCACTTATTCCTAAATCAATCGTATAAAAACCTTTTTTTTAATTTTGTATATAATTTTATACAAATCAATATTATCTCTTCTATTCATATTCCACCTTTTTCTCCTATAATTGATACTTTTAACCGATTTTGAATTTCAAATTGGCCAAAAAAATCACTTTCTCCCTCCGAAATTGAATTCAACTTTCGCAGGTAACCCCTAAAATCTAGGCGTGTATCAATTATTTTTATTTTTTCTTTGTTCAACAATTATATATGTATTTTGTTTCTTCCTTTTTTCATTTTTTTTTGGTTGAAATAATCAATCATTCTTATTAGATTATAAATTCCTCAAAATCGGAATGGATGAATTATCTTAAACTATGAGGATTACCAGAGGTATTTCATTGCATGTCAATTTTGTTGACAATTTACCCTCGTTTTTAATGGGTTTAACTCAAGATTTTGGGGTTGATGTAGCGTCTATGACAAAATCCAAACAAGTTCAAGATAAACAATCAAAGGAAGAATTGAGATCCAAGAAAAAAAATGACCCAATGACAGTTCAAAAAGTTGTTAACAATGTCATAGCTAGAGGAGAGAATTAGTTATTCGATTAGTTTATACAAATTATTTAAGTTATGTATATAATGACTAGTATACTAAGTTAATAAGGGGTAGTAGTGAATTGTATATTAAAGACTTCCTATTATATTTGTTTTTGTATATATATACAAAAATCAATTGTATTTAGTTATAGGAATATGCCTAATTTATAATTGTATATTATAGTTTTATGTTTTAGTTTATATACAAAATACTGGAGTTAAGCATATATTAAGTTTGTATATTAATGTAGTATATATAAAGTCGTTTAGACTAATTACAAAGTTATGTATATAGTGGTTTGTATATTAAGGTAATATATACAAAGTATTATGAAACAGTTCTTAATTGTATATTCTATTAGTTGTATATCAATTACTAAAGTTAAGTATATAGTGGGTTGTATATTAAGATAATATATACAAAGTCTTATGAGGCAATATCTATTTGTACACTAAACATGCAATATACTATATACAATTACGTGAATACAAAATTTACTTAAATAAATAATTTTTTGTATATATCAAACTTTAAAAGTTCATACAAACCATAATATACAGATTATTTAAGAAAAGGCAGGAAGAAAGAAAAATCGCATAATCGTAACCCCAGAAATCTCGTAGTACGACTTGAAAAAGAATGGATGAAAATTCTAAATTTTGAAATCAGTTTGTTTTGAGTGATTAAAGGAGAAAATAAGGCAAGGAATTATGAAAAGATAGAAGGACTTATTTTTTTTTTGAAAAAAAATTGAATTTGAACCTTTACCTTAAATTATGGCATTAACTAAATTTATTGTTAGCATATTTAACGCTTCAATTACAAACCACTTTTTCTAAAATAAAATTATATAAATAAAAAACAAAAGAAACGTTATATACAAGATACCTAAATAACTAAACTATACTTGTAGAATGTAATTAGGTAATCTATACCCATATAATGTTATTTAATCAATTAAGTTTGTCATATATGAAATTTTCCCTAAAAATATAAGCCATGCATCAAGCGGGTAGCCCAAGGCCCAATTGAAAAGAAATAGTAATGGGCCTCAGAAGCACAACTTTGCATTCTTCCTCATATGCCCCAATTGTAAGATAAAACTTTAATTTGAATTTTAACATTTTCATTTTTCAGATGGCTAACTTTCAAAATCCTAATAACATTTGGCTTGTTTTTATTATTTTAACTTAAAATTATAAGCATTTCTGCACTACAAAACTACTCAATAATACACTATTTTGGCTTAAAAATTAAAATAAGTCAATCTAAACAGACTCTAAAAATAACCAGAGTTAAAAGATAATTTAAACATTCATTCCGTACAAATTGTAGTAATTCAATAGAGCCTTCTTAAATTTTGAATCGTATAGAATATTAACAAAAAAATTATGTGGTAGGTAATAAAATTATTTTCACACAGATTATAGTAATAAATTTATTTTCAATCGTGGATGTTGTTAGATTATTGTTTCGTATGAAAATCTCTGCGTCTTAACGAGTGATAACAAGAAAGGAAAAAAAAGTACGGTACGCAAAAATAATCTAAAGTTTATTAAATTCCTAAAGGAGAACATTCAAGATCATATTTGGTGACAGTCACTAATACAAACTTTAAAATAATTTTTATTTTTCTCGTTCATTAATATTATTAATCTAACTTGAATGTAGATTTATTTTATCGAGTTTACATTCAATAATTAAAAATTGACATTAGACCGGTAAGTGCGTCCAGGTTGCCATCCCACAGGAATAACATTAGTAGCAGTAAGTTTCTTGTTAGACCCAGTTGTAACCCTAATTGAATAAGGCGCTGGTTGTGCTGCCGGATTAATATTACTGCTCCATGTTGCACCAAATACATGATTCGCTCTTATCGCTTGATTTGACCTTGCTGGTAAAAATTCGACTAAACTAAGATCACCGTCTCCATTTTGAAACTCAACATTTACTGATAAGAAATTCGGGCTTGAACCTTGATCCACCTTGAACGCGATTTTCCAGTTCTGGTAATGACATGGCACCCTGTAATATATTATAACATTATTATGAATTTTATCAAGATGATAAAATGTTTTTTTTAGTACGTACGTACCTTTGGTAAGAAATTGGGATATTTCCTATATTACGTAACGCGTTAGCTTGACCAGGTTTAGCTAAAGCACCCATTGCGGTTCCACTTAAATCAAAATGAATAGAGCCTGAACAGCCAGGGCATTCATCTGTAATCGTTACGGTTACTGGTCTTCCTGTGCAAGGGGCTAGTTTGCATAAAACCTAAAATTTCACTATGTACACGTTATTATTGTCGAAAAATTTAATTCATATATACTTATCGCGTAAATTAACATAAGTGTATACTATATGTATATGGACCTGGTAGCAAGCTCCACAGCCCAAGCCTTTCTTGAAAAGTGGCCCATTTCCAGCAGAAACAAAGGAATTAAAAGGGGGTTTTGATACAGCATCTGTATATCCACAAGCTCCTCCTTCTAATAACATGAGAAACGAAATAAAATAAAATCAATAAATTAAATAATGTTATGTTTTTGTCAATATACAAAGATTAAAAGTAATCACAATTTCAAATTATTGAAACAAACCAATCTCATACAATGTAATCAACTAACTAACTAAAGAAAACAATGTGATGAATTTAGTGCAAAATATTTTACTAGAAGAGTAGCATAATTAATTAATTTAATTTAATTACCAGATCCTGCTCCAGTTGGAGGGCCATAAAATGTTGCTACTGCTGGTTGAAAACTGGATATAGAAGCATTGAGTGATTTAACAGGTGCACAAGTGCAATGTTGAAGCAAACATAGAGCTAAAAAGTTGAAAATGATAACATTATAACCCATGCTTGATTATTAATTACTAGAATGAATTATAATTTACTGTCCTTAATCTCTTTTACTAATTTTTGCTTGGAGAAACACTATGGTATTGATGCTCTTTTTATAGTGGATAAAAATATATCTCTTACCAAAAAATTAAGGAAAATGATATCCAAAAGATTTTAGTGATACTCCATTTTATAATACAATTATATTATATTATACTATAGCTAATTACCAAAAAAATTATAGCTCTTGATAGATATTTAGTTAGTACTTAAAGAGATCTTCTATCAAATTACAATAGGCAGAAGATCTTTGCAAAAAAATAGGTAAGTTCATTAAGGGAGGATAACTTCTTACTTATTTCATATGATCAATTTGTTATTATAAGAGAATCAATCATTTTATTTTATTTTATATTATATAGAAGAGTGAAGTGGGGGGGACGATTAAGGGCAAAAATGTAATTTCACCCTAATAAAAATCTATGAAGAAATATAATAAATAATTCTAGAATTATCTTTCTATGCATGAAGTGAATAATGATTAAGGGCAAAAATGTAATTTCACGCTAACAAAAATCTACCATGAATGATAACAAAAAAATTAAATAGTTCTAAAAACATCTTAAGTTATTATTATTGCCATTAACTTATTTTGTTATTATTTCTTTTTCTTTTTATTTCTTTTGTGAGTTATTGTGATATCTATTTTATTATTACTCTATTTCACTATTACTTTAATTTAATTCTTAATATTTTTTCTATTCATTATACTTATAAAATAAAACGTATTTTTTATATAAAAATATCATGAATCAATTATTTCAATCTTTATTTTGGCTCTAATTAATATACTTGAGAATAAATTAGTGTGATAAAATTAATAATATATATTACATTGAAATTAAAGAACAAGATGTTAAAAGTAACTTTACAAATTAAAATGAATAGGATCATAAATCTGTATTAAAGATGACCAAGAATAAAAATGTAATTTCATTCTAATAAAAATCTATCAAGATTAAATAATTTTAAAAACATCTTTCTATATATGAAGTGAATGATAATCAAAGGTAAAAATGTAACTCATGCAAACAAAAATCTACCAAGAATAACAATGAGAAAATTAAATAGTTCTAGAAACATCTTTAAGTATTATTATTAGTATTACCTCATTTTTGTTATTTCTTCATTTTTTTATGAGTTATTGTGATATTTATTTAGTTATTATATGAAAGTTAATAATTAATGATTACTCTTGGCTCTTAATAATTATATATCAAGTATAATATTAGGTGGAACCAATCAAAATTAAAATTAAAATTTATATATATATTAAATTTTGTGTATTGAAATATTTTTAATCTTGTGATCTTTAATATGCTATATAAAAAAGTTAAAATTCAAAAGTTATTTTCTTTTTAAAATGAAATAAAAATAAATTCATATAAATAAAAAAGAAGGGAGTCATATATTAGATATGAAATATATATATGGTATTATTGAAATGAGCTTATAGAAATATAATGATTTGAAAACTTTAATTCTTCGTTTTAATTTCTAATTTGTTACATATTTAAAAATTACATAAAAAAAAGAAGCTCAAAAACGCAATGTAACAATTTAAGATGCTTTTAGAAAACATAGTTAAAAACATAATGAAATTTGGTTGACTCCCTTATTTTTGTCGAAACAAAAAAGTGGCATATATTGTTTGAAAATAACGTAAGAACTGAAAAGTACTATGAGTCACAGTAAAATGACAACTAAAAATATATGAGAATCATATAAGAAATTTCGTTTACTTTCCTAAAATCACTTGTATCACATAAAATACAACATATGGAGTAACATATATTATTCAAAAATAACATGAAAGGTACTCCATAAATTAACAATTTAAAATATTCTTTTAGAAAACACATAAAAGATTTAGTTTACCTGTCTCGCATAAATTGGAAGGAAAAAAACTTATATATATATATATATATATATATATATACACACACCATACATATACTATAATATATATTATT